TTAGGCATGACTAAGCGTTAGATGTAACCGCAACAAAATATCTCACATTTGCCTAGAATCACAAGTTTATGAACTAATATCATCGCATCTGCCTCTCATTTATAAAACTTTCATCGACATCACATGGTAAAACATAAAACGTAGTATGTCGAAATAAGTAAGGGAGAAGAAGCTGGAAAATAGTGAAGCAGATTGAGAGCGAAGAAGCGCAAAAAAGAAAAAATAAGATACTCTAAAGATGGTAGTCTCTAACTATATCATAACCTAACTATATAGAAATCAAGACCTTATTTTCTAGTATCTTATCAAACGGTATAAAAAGACACTGTGTCATCATTTTGAGACGCAACTCAATGTTGACTAGGCGCCGCAGAGGTCACAACGTGATCATGACGCCTACTTTGTTACTTTTTGCCAATGTGAGGCGTTTTTCCTCTGACTTGTGTCTCGGCGAGCTTAGGCGCGTGCCTAGACACGCTTTTAGAACCAAGTACAATGTAGTCCAGATATCATATCGTGACGGTCTCAAAACTCGATCAACTTTTTTTTAACTTGTTTTTTAGGAAATGAAAAATAGTACAATGACGAATTACTTAATAATTCTTGCACGTAGTTCGCAATTATGCAAATTTTGGAGGTCACAGAGCTGTCACTTTAGATAATTCAATATGATAGATACTTCCATTATTGTTGTTTAACCTCTAGATTATTTCTAGATAGCGTAGGATAAGGCGACCGGAAGCCTAATACATTGCACGGAGAATTTGATGTTTAACCTCCTTGTATCATTCCATCTATCAATCAACTAATTGATAATGATATCAACTGACAATAAATTTAATGTCTTTAATGAATTCGTCGTCGAATAGTAGTGAAGCTACATGTAACAATAATCTTCTCTCTAATCAAAGATTCTCTGTAGATGAGCAATCTACCACAAAAATATTCTCAAATCGTTTCATTGGATAAGGTTATTAGAAGGAATTCCGCTATGGCACATGCCAATAATACAGGTGCGTTCCTTTTAAAAAGGGGGTTTATGCTGTTAATTATTGGACCTTTCAGGGTTGGATTTTGCCGTTTTACAGGCTGTAAAAAAGCCCATGAGAGGTCTGGACTCTGGACCCGGATTATGACATTGCGGGCCCACGGAAAAATATTCACGTAAAATAACGGCTCCTTTTCCCCCTCTGTTTTGTTAATTGACAGTTCCGTCCTTCACGTATGGATTGTTTTAACGGGAAATGCCACACACAGTGTTTCCACATGTCCGTCCAATCATCACGTTACGGTCAAGGGGAAAACGGAAGCGTCTAGAAACTAGAAAGCAGAGTTCCGTTGCTGACTTTGCAGAGTGCCACAAAATCCAATTTCTTTCCTTGGAAGTTGACCGGTTAGGGTCGGCTCCAAGCTTAGCTGTATTTACAAAAATCAATGTTTTTCGAAATCGGAAGAAATATTAAACCGAAAATTTAGTGATCAATGATTCAACGATTAATCGTTATAGTTGTGCAATCCACTAACAGCTTTTCATTTTCTTGATGAATTTGACATCAAACCAAATCCTACTCCATTTAATAATCAACCCGAACAAATGTTAGCTAGATAGTCTAACTATGCTTCATGTCAATGCGCGTTGTTTGAACCTTTATATCCATTTATTATTTCTTGTCTAACTTTTTTAGGATCCACATTTATTTCATTCTCCCCTAGTCTTAGTAATATACCGACTTATTTATCCTCTTGACTTTTTCTTTACATCGATATTTATTTCATTTGCCTAATTTCAAATCAACTAAACGAATTTAACTAATCTAGATTTGACATAAGCAACCCACAAATTCAACAGGTCCTTTAAATCAGAGTAGAGTAACATGAAAAAGGGGCAATGAGCGGGTAAACCATTAAGCTCGCCCAAATCTACTCGATTACAATCCTCCCAATACGTGTTTGGATGGATACGAACGGTGGATGTGGTTCATTTTTCTTGTGACCCATAAAATTTGAATGAGTGGCTTGATCATTGGCCCGCAAAATCACCCAATATATTGTGCCACTAATTTATTCTATAATATACATATATTTTTCTACTCCAAAGCATTAATCATGATTAATTCAATGAAAAATAATTATTGTTATAAAATTTTGCTTGAATTACCGTATAAATTATATGCACTTTATTTAAAAAAAATATGATAGCTATCCATAAATTGTTGGCAAATGAGATGATTAATGTTAGGTTATGCAATAAAATATGTTTAGTAGCTATTGGTTCTCTTGAAATACGTAGGTTAATTTGATATTTAATTAGTTTGTTGCAAGTTCTTATGCTCCATAAACATCTTTTCTGTTTCGATACAAGTTTTAACACACCAGAACCGTCAGACCCACTCATCATCAACTATCAACCCACCCCACAATGGTCCGATAGATAGGTGTGAGACATTTCTTCATCGCCCACCAAAACCTTGGATCGGTGGGTTGAATCCCAAAAATCGTCCAATCGTTCATTGCCCCGTCCCTAATACGAGTGACATCGACATGGTGCTACTAGTTAGTTAATCTCCGAGCTCCAAAACCAAATGTGCAATTATGTGCAAGTAAGTATACATGAACATGACATAACTTGCTAATGGTGCACATTGGGCACTTGTGGCAACAAAAAAGAGAGATCACAAGAACAATAAATAACAAATAAAATGTACTAGAGGGCAGCAAGGAAGCAACCAATTTCGTCTTGGGCTTCTCTTTTCTTTTTAAAGCAGTAACCCAAGATCGTTCAACCACTTTCCACTTGTTTTTTCCCCCCTGGCCAAAGTGGACCTCATAGATCCAGTTTTTTTTGGTCAAACTTTAGCATCCAAATTAATTAAAGTTAACTTATGAGAGCACGTATTTAATTAAGTAATTAAACCCGTTTCGTTTGGCTTTCTGCTTCTGACCCTGCATTAATTAACTTCTTTATCCACGTCTTACAAGCTACCTAAATCATGTCGAAAGAGGTTTTAGGGTGTACCTAATCTAGCTTTATGCTAAATCTTGTGTAATTAATTACGGGTTGACATTAGCGAGCTAGTCTGCAAAAGCAAATGTGTGGGTTTTAGCACAAGAACGATTACATCCACTCAAGCACTGTCTTTGGAACTTGAACCAACAATTATCTAAAACCGACTCACTTCTTCTAGCCATATGCCGTAATTAAATAACAAAAAATTAAGTCTGTTCTTAGACGATGAGCAACTCGATTAGATCATGTCTACCAACGATTCAGTTTTCGTTGCTTGTTAGAACCTTAGACTCATCGAGTTAGATATGGGACATTGATCTAAACCAGATCCAGTTGTTGGTAACTTGAACATTCTGTTCGTTCAACAACAACCCTTTTTCTATGTTTATATTCATCTGTATTTCAAAAGCTCGCTGATTATGACAAATTAGCATGTGGCAGATTATGTTAGGAAAATTAGGTAGGATCAAGTCATCAAGAGGAAGACAACACATAGAAAGAGGCCTTGTGGAAAGGGGAAACATAAAGGGAAAAAGCTCCTGCTAGGTTTTTTTTTCCCGTGTAGTCTCGTTATATCATGTGTTTATATCAATTATTGATAATACATTGTCGTTACAATTTAAATGTGAGAGCTTTTGATCAAGGATTTATACCATGTTTTTTAATTTGATTTCTTATTACGTGTTATGTGATTTTTTATAACAACTTCGAGTAATGATACATTTTTCTCTTTCTTTTTAGGCAGTGGCTGATCCATAAGCTATGACGGCGTGGTCCAAGTTCAAATATAAAAAAATAAAATATTGATTCATAGAGTATACAATTTGATAGTTGTTTCATAGCAGAACAACCCTAGTTACTGGAATTCCTAACTATCCCAGAGTCAGAACTATTCGATTTTCACTCATCTTTAACACTTCCTGACTTCCTGCGATAACTTTTCATATTCGAAATAAGTTTGTAAAATAAATTATATATATACTCGATGCTTATATTGCAACTCAAACCTCACAACCATTCAAAACATTGACCATTCAGAGAACTTTTTGATTACTTTGCTGAAAATTCATGATATATATGAACCACATATGCGTCCACAAACATAAAAAGTTCGTGGTTCAGAATCTGACAAATAATTTGCATAAATTTATTTAGGTTTCCAATTTCCACAGCGGCACAGCCTCAAAACCACATACAAGTGCGTGTTGGTAACGTGGGGTTGACCTAAATAGCCAAATCCTAAGTGTACTAGCTAGCTGTTATGGGCAGACCAGCTTTTAATGTAACCAGCCTGAATTTTTGTAAACCTAGCTAGTGATCGGGAAGATCAATAACTCCTACTTATGGTAACTATACCTAACAACATGTGAAACAAGTAGGGATAGCAATTTGAACCCGAAGTCACGAGTATCGTATCCTATCAAATGTTGATGGGTTTTGGGTCGAGTGGAAGTTTTTTACATGCCAAAATCCAACCCGCTTTTCACTCGATCCGCACTCATAAAGTAAAATGACGTCATTTTGTATCTAACCCGAATAATATGAATAATTTATTGATGTTATTTTTTTTTTTGACGATATAAACCTAATAATATGCATAATTTTAGGGATGTTATCAGTCCTTATGAATATATATTTGTATAAATAATTAGATAACATTACGGTGTGAGTTTGAGTTTCGAGAAACACGACCACAGACATAATGTAATCCTCAGTTTCAAAATATAGATATTATTTTTTTATTTATTAATTATACATTTGTATTTTTCCGGAGTTTAAAATTGAAGTGGCGAACTGGCGATTTAAAAAGAAATTGGTGTGCCAAATTTTTTTTTTTACAAAAAGGAAAGTCACCGGTCCAGGTAAAATGGAGAAACTTCCGGCCCATGGAACTTTGAACCCAGTGGCGGGAGACGGGCCCAGCTAAGCTAGAGACGAGTCTATCCGACTATAAAGAACCCTCCCAACTTTCCCCCACACTCCCAACTTTTTATTCCAATTTCAATTTTTATCCTCGGGAAGGAAAAAAAACAAAAACAAAAGGCGGGGAGAGGAAGCCATAGCCAACGCGACGGCAAGGCCAGAAAGAAAGAGGAAGAAGAACAGAATCGCGATTCGCGGACCCTAGACGAACAGTACAAGAAGAAGAAGAAGAACCAGAAACCAAAGGAGAAGACACCAGACAGACAGATAGGTAGAAAGCGAATCCCTGCCTGGCTCTGTGTGTTTTTCCTGTAGGAAAAAAAAAAAAAGACGCATTAGTCCTCATTTTCTCCTCCTCTTTATCCTCCTCCCACTTCCCTTCCTCGTCTCTTCCCCATTTTCTTCGTTGGTTGAGCTGCTCTCTCTGCCACCGCATCGCTCACTCCTCCTCTCTCTCTCTCTCTCTGGCACGGTATGTCTCTTCATTGGTTTTCTCGCATATTCTCTCTTCTCTGTGTGTCGCTTGATCTGTGACCTGGTTTCCTGTTTGGATGGCGAGAGAGTTTGTTTGAGAGATAATGAGGATTACGAGGCTTTCGAATGATAGGTTGTACTGTGTGCGCCTTCTGATTTGATGGTGAATCTTATGGTTTTCTCTTCGTCTAGCTCTGGTTTACGGCTTCGGAGATCTGAGATTTGAAGGAATTCGATTTTTACTCTCTCTCTCGTTTTCTGTGCTCCTCTCTTAATTTCGCTGTCCTCCGGTTTCTCGGTTGCCAAGCGCGCAGCTCATGCATCCAGTCGTCGTCTCTCTGCCGTCTGTCACGTTCTGGTTGTGGTTAATTGGTGCGAAGCTTCTCGCATGTATCGTTTTTTTTAAGAGGTGCATTTAACTTTCTTTTTTTTTGGTTCGGTCGTCGTCTTGTTCCTTCCGGATGGCAAATGCGGTGCGGAGTGATAGATCTGAGCTGTGCGGCTCCGCCGTCTGATTTTTCTCAATTGGAAATCGCTGGGCGGCGGTGCTGTATTGGCCGGATGGGGTTACGTCTAGTTTCCTGTTGTTTCTTTTGTTTTCTCTAGCTGTTTGGCGAATCTTCTGGTGGAAAATGAAATCCGGGAAACTGTAATAGAAACGGGAAGAAACATTTCGGTCAATTCGCCTAGAGTAAAACCTGCCATGATTTATGGTTTGCCTGTGTTTTTGGAGGCCGATTGGCTTCAACTAGAAGTAGTCAAATTGCCTCTGTTCTTTTGGGCGAGCTCATTTCTTCAGTAGATTCATATGTCGTAATGCATAAGCCACTGAAGATTCTAATCTTCCCACTCTCACGTTTTGCAGAAACCCACCCGTTGCTGTGAGTAGTGGTTTGCTTCTCAGAATTGGAATTGAGCTCCGTGTCGAGCTGCTGCTGATTGTTGGTTTTGATTCTGGGATATCGCCATGGCTGCTTCTGCTGCCGCTGCTGCTTCTTCATTATTTCCTGTTCCTTCCCCATCTGGGGATGCCAAGTCCGACAAGCTCGGGCGTGGGTCAGCCAGTTTGGCTGGGCTTAAATCAAAATCTGCTAGTTCCGGGGCATTGCAAGTGAAGGCAAATGCCCAAGCTCCTCCCAAGATTAATGGAACTTCAGTAGGGTATGCAGCTCCTGCTGAAGTGGTGAAGCATGGGGCGGATGGTCCTTCGCAACCGCCACCAAGGACTTTTATCAACACGTTGCCTGATTGGAGTGTGCTCCTTGCTGCTATCACAACCATCTTCTTGGCTGCCGAGAAGCAATTTACGATGCTCGACTGGAAACCCAAGCGGCCTGATATGCTCATTGACCCTTTTGGTCTTGGCAGAATTGTTCAGGATGGTTTCGTGTTCAGGCAGAATTTCTCTATTAGGTCCTACGAGATTGGGGCGGATCGTTCAGCTTCTATTGAAACTGTAATGAATCATTTACAGGTATGTGGAAGCATCTAAACTGTTTAATCTTACTGGGAAGATTGGTTAGGTTAGTGTATGATGGATTTTGGTTCATTATTTACAGGAAACAGCCCTCAACCATGTAAAAACTGCAGGTTTACTTGGTGATGGATTTGGTTCCACCCCTGAAATGAGTAAACGGAACCTGATATGGGTTGTCACCCGGATGCAAGTTCTTGTGGATCGCTATCCTACATGGTAAGCTATGCAATTTGCTTAATTAACCAGGTTTTACCTCTTTTAACTGAACAATGGTCAGTTTTGGGTTCTTTGGTTGGACTTGGCTTACTGTTAGTTTTGAAGATCATATGCTCTCATTCATCGTGCCAGATCAGCTGTTTTGAACCTCTTATATTGAGTATGATCTGGGTTATTATGCTAATGCTATTAGGTATTTTATAGCGTCAATAGCTAGTAGATAATTCTCAGTGTTGGTTGTCCTGTTCTGTGGTTCTCAATGATAATAGAGACCATTTTAGGTTGCCAATGATAATAGACCATTGGACATTTGTTGTTCTCTTTCGGAGTTCTGAGACCATTTGATTCTTCATACCTCTGTTCAAAACTTGGCATTTTGTAGGATGAGACTTTTCTTCTTGTTTTGTCTTTTCCTTATTGGATTACTTTCTTCTCTCCGTTTCTTTAATGTTTCATTTCCGGAGTGGGTGCCTTTTGCTTGTTCCTTTATTACTTGTACTCGTGAGGATGGATAGAAGTTGACAGCTCACTACTCTAAGTAGCTTTTCCAGCACCAATAATGGTTTGGTTCCCAGTAGCTGTTCCGGAGGACATTGAATGTTAAGATTTTGTAGACATTCACTGCGCCTTGGAAACCGAATGATGCTCTCCTTACCACTGTTGCCATTTTTGATCGAGTGAAAACATTACCCGGGATCGGGACTGAATTTGCTGGTCTTTGCAGGGGTGATGTGGTTCAGGTGGATACTTGGGTGACTGGGTCAGGTAAAAACGGTATGCGTCGTGATTGGCTTATTCGTGACTGTAAAAATGGCGAAATTCTGACACGAGCCTCCAGGTGAACTTCTGATTCCTTTGCATTGCAAGTAACCCATTTCCTTATCTGGTTGAACCTTCAGCTTTGTATCTGAGATTTGCTTGCCAAAAATATGCAGTGTCTGGGTGATGATGAATAAACTGACACGGAGGCTGTCCAAGATTCCTGAAGAGGTTCGTTCGGAGATCGAACCCTACTTCCTCAACTCCGACCCTGTTGTCCCTGAAGACAGCAGGAAGCTGCTGAAACTCGATGACAACTCTGCGGATCACATCCGCAAAGGATTAACTGTACTGAGTCCTTCTGAATCTGTGATCTATTCCTCCATTTCGCCACTAAATGTCACACATTGTAGCTAACGAATTTTGTCGATTGTTTTCCAGCCTAGGTGGAATGACCTGGATGTCAATCAGCATGTCAACAATGTGAAGTACATCAACTGGATCCTTGAGGTTGCTCCTCCTCCCAACCTGTAAAACTAAAAACAAAACCAACTCTTATTTCTCGCTCACTCAGTGAACTGTACTGATATTTGCTTCGTCGTTCTTTGCAACAGAGTGCTCCACTGGCAATTCTGGAGAGCCACGAGCTCTCGTCCATGACTCTGGAGTACCGGAGGGAGTGCGGGAAGGACAGCGTCCTCCAGTCCCTGACTGCCGTCTCCGGCAATGGCGTAGGCACCATAGGCAGTGCCGGCGGCACCGTCGAGTGCCAGCACCTCCTCCGGCTGGAGGAAGGTGCTGAGATTGTGAGGGGACGGACCGAGTGGAGGCCCAAAGACAGGAACAGCTTCGGTGGCGGTGGCACTCCAGGCCACATTCCGGCGGGAAACGCCTAGACAGGACGAGATACAGCTCTCCCGCCAAAAAAAAAAAAACTCGGTTCTCCCTTTCGTCGCCGGCGTGATACGTGGCGCCTTCCGCCACCTGCCACCTAGCTCCTCCACCACCACCACCACCTGTAGAATTCCCCCTCCTCCCCTCTTTTCTTCGTGTCTCGGTCAAATATGTTTCATTCCTTCTTTTACTTATTTATATATTATTATTTATATATTCGTTTGGCTTAAGAAAGAAGGTGACTAGAGCCCCTCTGTAATTATAAGCTCTCTGTGGCGAAAACTCAACAGTTAACTCTGTTTTTTTTGTCCGGTGAAAATGGTTCTCCGTTAGTGGGTGGTGCAGGTGCTGGCCTGGCTGGCTGGTTGGTGCCTACGCTTTGGAAGAAGAACCCAAAACGACACAGCTTCGTGTTCTGATTTCTGTGGTCTTGAATCTTGATCTGACCCGCCTGGTCTGGTCTGGTGCCTTCCTTTCTAAATCAGGGAACTCGTGTATATTTTTCTTGTCTGGCATATTTCCTTTTGGCTTTCGTTGCCAATTCTATTCTATTATTTCTTTTGTTTCACAAATGGTTCTTCTCTGGATAAAGAATGAAAGGACATGAAAAAGTATGTAGCTCTGTCACAGGTTTCTTGCGATTCGACCTGTTTCGATTTGTTTGGACAGGTTATTAACCGACTCGTAGTAGTGTGGGGCAAGACATATGTATTGCTTTCGATTTATCTGGGTTTGTCCTGTTCTCGTTGTGTTCTATTATGATATGCATCAATACCTGATATGCCATGCAACTCGTATCTGAACTAGTATTACCTAATCTGACTCGCACTTAGTGCGATACAGATATGGATATATTAGGTACCCGTCCCCATTTCGTCACATTGCCATACTTACTTTCCTGGTTCGTTGCTGGTTACTTTACTTTTTCCCTTATTCGGTGGGTTGTATTTATGTAGGGTGTTAAAGAACATGATCCTCATTCCTCCTCCAGCGCATAGCTAACATGATGGCTACTAGTATTACAGTTTTGAGATTTCTGGGTGGAGGCGGCCATGTGAGAGCAATAATGCCCGAGGATTGTAATGTGTTGTTGGTAGGTATTATATGAATGCTACATCAATGATGATTGATGGAGGCAGTACGAGTACAAGTAGTATGAGTTGTTGGAGGTTGGCGGAAGCTGACTTTCGAGTGTGAGAGATACAATTTGTCCCCCTTATCTTCAATGCCAGTTGTGGGGGGGATTTGAGGTGTTGCTATTTTGGTTAGTTAGTTGAGAGGTTTTGAGGATCCATCTCATTAATGGATGGTGATGGTATGCACAGCTGAGGTGTTAGTGATGGTAAGACTTGTAGTTGAGTCGTGATGAAATCGAGTTGGTTTTGTTCGGGGTTTGTGATTTGACAGGTGTAATCGATTGGATTCGTACGGTACACAGTTTTAATGACGTTCGTTTTGTCGATGAGGTTGGCATAGACAAAATGAGAGACGCAGACGCGGGTGAATTGGTTGGCTGTTAGGTTAAGTTTGGTTATCTGGTTAGGGTTTAGTCGAGCTAAATTGTTGTATAATGTCATGACGATAAGATCTTCCCCACAGATACTAATTCATCCAATCTCTAAGGTTTTCTCCTTCCATGGATGTTAGGAGTGATATCACCTTGAAGCTAAGGTCTGAGAGAAGTAAGGCTTGTTTAATTTAGGGGTAAATGACACATTTGGTCACTGAGATTACTAAATTGTGTCATGTATAGTCACTAGAAAAAATTAATATCAATTTTGGTCACTCGAATTACCGAAACTGGTCAAATTTAGTCACTCTCCCGTCAGTTTCCGTCCAACTCCATTAATGTAGTTCGACGGAAACTTTTGGGAGAGTGACTAAATGTGACATGTTTCAGTAATCCGAGTGACTAAATGTGACATTTTTCAATAATTCGAGTGACCGGAGTTGGACAGAGGCTACAGAAGAGTGACCAAATGTGACCTGTGTCAGTAATTCGAGTGACCAAAATTGATATTAAATTTTTCTAGTGACCAAATATGACACGATTTAGTAATCTCAGTGACCAAATGTGTCATTTACCCTTTAATTTAGTATGATATCTTATTGTTTAGATTTATTTGTACTAAGATATCAATACATTGTGATATTTTGACTCTAAGTGTGTTTAATTTTTTTTTGTATAAACTATTAATTTATTTGAAAATAAAAATAATGAGTCTTATTAACTGTGTTTAGTTATTATTTTTTTCGGTACAATTTGAATTAGAGCTCTTCTATCATGTTTTAAAGTATTGGTGCTTCGATATGCAAGTTGAACTTCTAGTCTTCTACCATAACAATAAAACTACAAGTTAAGCTTGTACAATAAAAGCAAAAAACTAAAGTACCAATGCTTTAAAATTTAAAGCAGTGTAAAACTAAAATTCCTCCTTGAACTAAACTCTACTATGCATTATCATCTATCTGGACGCTTATGATTAGAAATTTGCTCGTCAATTTTTCGACCCTATTGTTTCATTATAAATGAATTCTCCAATCATCCAAAAAAAAAAGCATTCTTCAAACCATAGAAGTTGTTTTTTGCTAATAATGTGGTGTAGTAGTAGGTCTTTTGAACTTCTGTCTCTCGCGGTTTTATGGGCTCAAATCAGTATGGTCCGAGCCCAAGCTAAGGTCCAAATAGAGCCCACCCAGCTTATGGGTCATGAACCTGATGTTTCCTTGGATCAGGCCATGCTAAGAAGGAAGACGAGCTTGGTAGCCAACACACGAACCCGACTTTTTTCAGAAATACCACTAAAAAAAATTCCAAAAATATCTACATTTCCAAAAAATTCAAAAAATGCCACAATTTTCCATAAATCACCACCCCATCCCGCGGTTCACACGAAAATCGCTGGGTGGGGATTGGTTTTTGGTGAAAACAGCATGGTTCGGGGGCGGTTTTGTTGACAGCATGGGGCCTTGGCGGTTTGGTCCAAAACAACTGCCCCCAGCGCTTTGGTCCAATTTTTCCCGATCAATTCTAACCTAGGTGGAAACTTCAAACGAACGTATCTTTGTGCCCGGGTATCGTAGCAAGATTTTTGTGATTCCGCATAACTTTTTGACATCTTACACGCCGCAAACTGCTACTGCCTTCCTCCCGAAAAAACGTCGTTTGCTACCCCGGACGAATTTTTTCCCCAATTTTATCAAACTTTGGATGACCATAAATTTGTGCCCAAAAATCCAAACGTCATGATTTTGCATAACTTTTTTAAGAACTATAATTTTCATGGTTTGACGGTCCGTACTTGACCACAGCATTTCACACCCCTAATGGAGTTTTCCCACTTTCGTTAATGGTGCATGTCCTTCGGCTTTACATACGCGCTCTAGAACTAGAAGCACCCACAACAACAAAATTGCTCTGTTTCGTCTTGGTCCTGCTTTGGTTGTCACTCTTGCCCCCCGAGTGGAGTTTTCCCAGTATCCAAAACGCAATCGGCGACCTGTCACTGTAAATTGTAACATCGCCGGCCGGCCAAATCAAACACGACACAATGAAAGGCGTCAAAAGAACACGCAAGGGACGAATATGACATACGGGCCAAAAAAAAATCGTGCAGAACCGAACAGGGGAGGGGAAGGATATAAAACGAGCACCAACCACCAACGGGTAATCGATTTACTAGTCGTACTGGTGAAAATTTGCAGAGAAATGACAAATGGCCGATGGGTTTGGGCAGTTTGGATGGTATTCGTTCTTGTGATAAGTATTTGTTTTGCAGCTGAGGAGTACAGCAGAGGGGATTTCCCGGAAGGGTTCGTATTCGGAGCAGGAACATCGGCTTATCAGGTGTCCGCGTAGTTAAATTTGCGTTTTAAAACTTAAACAAGTTTACATTTTTTACATTTCTAGGTCACCAAAATGGTTCTACGCAGAATTATGCATACATAGAATCGCGATTTTGACTGTATTGATCAGGTTGAAGGAGCGGCGGACGAGGATGGCCGGAGCCCCAGCGTGTGGGACACATACGCCCACCAGGGGTACGCCGGGGGAGCGACAGGGGATGTCGCCGTCGACCAGTAACATAAGTACGAGGAAGACGTCCGGCTGATGGCCGGAATGGGGCTGGATTCCTACCGATTTTCCATCTCTTGGTCCAGGCTCATCCCTGGTATGTATAGATGTGCAGAGCTTCTTATTGTTCTTTTTTTGATTGATGCTCTGCATTCTGGTTCTTAGTTTGTCTTGCTCTGTTTCCCCTCTCTCTATGCTTGGTTTCATTTTGATCCAAGGGAAGGTGGGAGAGGAGCTGTGAATCCCAAAGGCGTCCAGTACTACAACAACCTCATCAATGAACTAATCAGCCACGGTAGGTACTTTGCTTCCGTCGTAACCCAATTGGTTCCAATTGAAAAATTAGAAAGAATGCGTAGAAGAGAGAACACGCGATTTTACGTGGCATTCTTGATTGCGAGCGACGATAAAAAAAAAATCACCACACAGAGAGTTGAATCTCTCCGGCTTTGATATTATTCATGAACTAATAATGATAAGAGTTACACGACCGAGAGTGGTGTGTGTGTGTCACGGTTGTGACCGTTACATTCGATGGCTGGCCGCGACTTCGGCTACTGCTGTTGTACCTTCGACGTGTTGATTCTTGTTGGGTTGACTGTAGTTGGGCCATAGATGTATCTAGGTTTAGTATCAATAAATGGATTTTACACCACATACCAGTGGCGTAGCCAGACTTTGGAATACAAACATTTAGCTAAAGTTGATCCAATATCAAAACACTCTAATACCATATCAAAACACAACAGATCCCAATAAATTAAGTTGTTTGGAAGAAATTCTTGCAAAAGTTTAGCTAAAGATGATCAAAGATTTCTTGCTTAACAAAACGGGGTTGGTTGGTTGATTTCAGGTATCCAGCCGCAGGTGTCATTGTACAACTACGATCATCCTCAGGTTCTTGAGGACGAGTACGGAGGATGGGTTAGCCGGAAAATGGTGTATGCACTACTGATTAACTTACTCTGTTTTTTCTGTTGGGAAAATTTCAACTGAAACTGCAGAGATGTTGCAGGAGTAATAATGAAAATGAAATCGTTGCAGGGGAGATTTCAGAGATTATGCAGAGGTGTGCTTCAGGGAGTTCGGGGACAGAGTCGGTCACTGGACGACGGTAAACGAGGCCAACATCTTCGCCTCGGGGAGCTACGATCAAGGTATGGCGCCTCCACATCGCTGCTCTCCGCCATTCGGCATCACGAGTTGCGCTCAAGGGAATTCCAGTACAGAGCCGTACTTGGTCCTCCACCATATCCTTCTGGCACATGGATCCATCGTCCAATTGTACAGGCACCATTATCAGGTATGTAATTGCGTCTTCTAAATCATCATCGTCACCATCTTAATAGGAGGTCAACATACGTCGGTCGATTAACCCAGTCATCAGGTCGACTGTGATGTACCAAATGTGTTCAAGTTCAAGAGACGCAGTCAATCGTCTCCATTATCAGGTTGTTCAGAGAGAGCATGTCGTCTCCAATCAATCTTGTCCGAAATGTTATTCATCTTGAGTGGTTCAAGCCATCATGCTTGTTCTTCACATTTACTTCTTCAAGCTCAACATTCTTGTCATTCATGTCTTCGCTTAAGGGGGAGTGTTGCGGTTACTTAAACCGTCTTAGTATTAGGCCTTGTCCGAGTTGTAGTAGGTACGGATATGTGGCCGTACTCGACTCTTCTCATTAGAGTTTAACCCTAGTCTATCTCTATATAAGACTTAGCTACGAACATGTCGTAAGCAAGCTGTCACAACGTAGTCGTTCAATAAAACGCCAGCCGTGAGCTCTTTCGAGCTCACCGTGAATTAGTCTCGATCAATCAATCGATCGAGAATATCACGTAAAATCTTTTGTCCCGTGTTCTTGTTATTCCGCGTTATCAAATTCTTCAATCTTTGATCGTCTTCTTCTTCTGGATGCAGGGGAAGCAAAGGGGGGTGATCGGGATGACGCTCTACGCTTTCGGTTTCGTTCCTTACACCAACTCTACAGCAGATGTAGCGGCGGTCAAGAGGGCCAAGGAGTTCTTCCTTGGATGGTGAGCCAATGTCAGAGTATGCCATATTAACTCGAGTTGTAAGAAGAGGTTCATGTATAATATTTAACCGCGAACCTCACAGGGC